TAAATCATGGGTACAGAGATTAAATTTTCTGGCGATGCTGTCTAAAGTGAACATTAATAAATGAGCAAAAGAAGAGAAGGGTGGACTCCCCAGTGAGACCCATATTAGGTCCTATTTAAGGACTTTACAACCAGGGTTATATTTTAATACAGGGATCTTGTACTTTTTAAAAAATTTTCATTGCCAGGGACCGGAACATCCTAAAGTAGACTTTTAAATTTTTTGTATTATTTAAAAGCAAGATTAGATTAAAACAGGCCCCTGTCTGGTTTCATGACACTAATCCTAACTTTTCCTTCCTTGAAAAAGAAAAAAAAAACCTAGCAGTGTTTTTGGAAATGTAGCACATAACCCTGCTGGCACTGGAATCACAAAGGGCTATTTTATAAACCCAGGGTCCTGGGTCCCACCTTGGGGTGTGCGCCTGTGGTTGCCGAGGCTATATCCAAGGGGTGTGGGGGGCCCCCTCTTCCATGGGCAAATGACCATTACCTTCAAGATACTACCTTGGCTAGGATATGCTTGTTGAATTAAATTAATTTCTAAATTGAAAACCAGAAATATTTAGGACTAGATTATTACTTGAATAATGTGATAATTTGCCTTTTGTAAAAATAGAGCTGTATGCTTTCCATCACTCCAGGAAAGAAGAAAAGTAGCCAAGATTGAGAAGCAACATTCTAGAGTAGTGAGCAATAGTCTGCCCAAAACAGATTTCCTGTATATTTCAAAATGGAGCTGGGAACTTGGACACCAATGGATACAAATTCGGGTCTCCTGCCCCAAGTATGTTTTGGATTTTCAAATTAGCCAGATTTTTTTTTTTTTTTGCCCTCTGATAAATTTGATGGGGTTTCCTATCCAGCTTATCAGTTAGGAAGATTATCAGAAATACAGATCAGGCAAAAAAAGCAGGTCTAACAAAAAAGGAAAAAAACCATAAACCATGTTTACACAGAGAGGGATCCTGGCGGGGCCCGGGGTCACTGAATGAATGAGCTGCAGGGGACCACACAAAGATGTCGGGTTTGGGGTGAGAATGGAGATGAGAAGACACAAACAGGTGGAGAGGAGATTCGGTTCTTGAAAGAGAAGAGGAGGAGGAGGAGGAATCTGACACTAAAAAAGTGAAAGAGAAAAAAAAAAGGATAAAGGCAAAAAAAAAAAGCTTTAGAAACATAAAAGAAAAAATAAACTAGCTTTTAATATACTCACATAAGCTGCAAAGAAAATGAGGTCATGTAATACACAGTCATTCCTCTACTTGACAACAGAATACAAGTGCTTTTCAAAGAAAAAAAACCGTGTTTTTTCCAGCGGTTATTTGTTCATTTACTGTTGTGTATATAACCATGGGGTAAAAATAACTCAGATTTACCTGGGCACAGATTCAGCAGCAGGAGCCACTGAATGATAATCCTTAAACTACAAATTCTAGGACATTCTAGAAGAGACTATTCGCTTTTCAGTCGGAAAGGGGTAGAACGTGCCTTTTCCCAGATCTTTTACACGTTCACCTGGACACTGAGGCTTTCTGTCGCGGGGTCTGCGGTGTGCCGTGTCCCGCACCTGCACAGTGCTGTCCTGCCACGCTGCCAGCTCACGGCTGGCACATAGCACTAACTTGGGGGACCACCATAGCAACGATATTTCCCCAGAGGAAGCGGGCCAGGCCTTTTTCTTTCTTTCTTTCTTTTTTTTGCTTTAGATAAGTGTCCGGTAATATCTACCGGTGATTAAAGATAAATCCCCTTGCTCCACATCCTATTTTGAAGGCTTCAGGAAGAATTTTTTTTTTTTTTGCTCCTTTATGGAAGAACTGTCAGCTCATTCCAATGAAAAAGAAAATGATTCACAGCTTCCAAGTTAAGACTGCCACTGCAGCGGGATGTCTCTTTCCATGGTTGGGGCCTATGAGGTAACAGCGATGGTGGGGGAGGGGAGCCAGAGGTGATGTTAGGAGGGGATCACATGTTCTGGGGGGACTCTTTCAACATTCTGTGTTGAAAATAAAACCAGGGTCCGGCCTAGCTGCTGTGGGGTTGGCCAGTCCATAGCCTGTGGAGGTGGGTTCCCTGAGGTTATTCCACAGATATGCATATGGATAGTGTTGGAGGTGGGAAGCCACATTTGGGTTGATTCGCCACTGCCCAAACAGGAGGCTGCTGCTGAATGGCCTAGATGCAGAACAATGTGGTTATATTTCTTTACAGTCCTTATCTATTAGACATATATACTGAAATTTTAACAGCAAAATACGATGTATGGAATTGGCCTTAAAATATCCTACATAAACCCAAGCTGGGGGGGGCAGGAGGCATAAATGAAACAAAAATACTAATCACTGAAGGTTGGTGGCAGATAGGTGGGATTCGTTATATCAACATTCCTCTCGTATTTGAAAACTTCCCATAAAAAGAAAATAAATTTGTTTTCCTAAACCAAGAACAAGGGACCCAAGGGAAACATGTGTCACTGTGGCTTCCCAAAGGAGTCACTTCTGTTCTGATCTGGAGCCGTTTTCACTGGAGAAGTTTCCTATCTCTCTTGCCCTGTCGCCCAGTTGCTTCCTAAGTTAGCTGTGCTGCCGTGGAGATTCAAGGTTAGCCAGGCTTGTCCCGCACCCGAGGACTAGAGAGGACGGAGGCCGCTGGGCCGCGCTGGAGGGGGGAGCCCAGACCCTAAAATGTGTCTCATGGGAACCTGCAGTGCTGCAAGAATGACTTTCTCTGTGGGGGAGCCGGAGGGGTCTGCTGTGGAGGGAGAGGTGCCAGGCGCCAACAGCGTGGCCGAGCGCTGTTTGTCAGAATGGAGCCGTGGACACAGCGCCTGTGCTGACTGCGTGAGAAAACACTGGAAGGGTAAAGAAAAAGCTAATAAAAAGGGTCAGCCTCAGGGATGTTCGGATGGAGGGCAGAGAGGGAAGCAGCACTTGTCCGTCTATGTTACGAGTTGGAGCTGACGCTGCGGCTCCTCCCCACCACAGGCCGTCAGCACAGGTGGGCAGGGGACACGCCGGGCCTCTGGGGACAGCCCGCTGAGTCGAAAGACAGACAGCTGGGCTTTAGTAACAAGGTGGAGGCGTCCTGCCCATTTTTAAGGAAGTCTTCCCGAGTCTCCCTGATTTACAGCGTCGTGTCTTTCACAGCTAGCCTGCCAGTGGTAAGGCCTCTTGACATGGTTTCCATTTTCCTGAGGTCCTGGCCTCTGAGGTAAGTATGTGCTGGGGTATACCCAACAGTTTGTGATTTTGGGGGTGAGGCTGGTGGCAGGAGTCCTGGAGAGACTCGGCTGGCCGGTGCAACTGTTATAAGGTGGTCACTGGCCGGTGCCTGAAGGCCGTGGTTTCTCCTCGTGTTCACGCACCAGCTGTCCAGGCTCCGACCGCCCGGGCTCCCACGTGAGCGCATATGCAGAACACCGAGGAGAAGGCAGGCAGCCACCCGGCTCCGTGCCCCACAGACACACCTCCCGGGTGCCGAGGCCGCTGAGAAGGTTTAACCGGCAGAGGGAGACCCCCGAGGACTCTAGGAAAAATACCTCGAGGGGCAAGAGGGAGCATCAATGACTGGGGCCTCCCTTATTTTCTGCCACTATCTGCTCTCAGTGTGACCTAGGGTTGAATGGAGGTCCCGGTCAGCTGGGAGGAAAGGGCGTCTGAATTTATATGACGGTCCTCACAGGGTCCTGGGAGGGGGAGGGGGGCGGCCCACGTTGCTGGTACCACAGGTGCCTTTACTCGCACCTCTCACCGGGGTCCAAGCCTTGTCGTGCAGCGGGCAGTCCCCTTCCTGCAGTGAGCGGGGGGTGGGCAGATCTTCCGAAGGACTGGGCCCCGAGAAGCACTGTGCTGTGCTGTTCTACCTCAGTCTCAGTCCCCAAAGATGGCAGACCAGTTTGGGGTCAGGCCAGTCAGAGGGTGAATCTCCCTGTGGCTTAGCCAGTCTGCATTCTGAGTAGTGCACTAACTTACACCTCGTGCGAGTTCCATTGCCCACTTTCCCCCTCGGAGCCCTGGGGCCCTGGATCAGATTTCTGAAGCCCACTTTAATTTGGTCAAAGCGAGCCCCCACAGTGATGCAGTCTGCAGGCAGCTGTGCAGGCAGGCTTAGGAGAGTATGCGTAGGCCCAGGGACCAAGCGGTCCCTCCTGGCAGTGGCTGAGCAGGCCTTAGGACGGCTCTGGCTTTTTCTGCAATGGCTTGACCAGGAGCTGGGACTGTGCGCAGCAGGACCCGAAGGCTCCTTCCTTGAAGCCAGCCCATAAAAGGCCAGGCATCCCCAGAGAGCGATCAGGCCTGGCACCGGCCCCTGGGAGGGGGGCGGGGGCAACATTGTCAGGCCCCAGCCGATGCTCCCAACGACCTTTCTATCTCGAAGCTGAGTGAATTTCATCAGACCTGTGTGTCTGTCAAGTCCCTCAAGCTGCCCCTGGATAGCTGGCATTACTACTGCTTGTTTGGAGTCTGGGAAATTAGAGTGCTGTTTACTCCGCTGTACTCAGGGGAATGTGGAGACACAAAACACAACGAGGTGTAAATACTTGCTCTAGGCAAGTCACTGCTCCCGGCCTCCCGGGGGGACGGGTTGTGGGCTCAGAGCCACCGGCCCCCACAGGCAGTCTGTGCCGTGCGCGGTGTGCGTGTGTGTGAGCAGAGACCAGGACCTCGCGTTCAGCAGTTCCTGAGATCTGTGAGAGGGAGAAACGGGAGCCCAGGGAAACCTGACGGGGATGGAAACAACCTACTTCTAGTTTTGCATCTGAGGCTCCTGGAGCCAGGGGAGACATGGAAAGGTCTCAAGAGCTGTGTGGGGCAGGCACAGCCCCGCCTCTGGAACTGCACCTTCGAAAGACGTGGAGAAACCGCCCCTCTGTGGCGACGGTCACTCTGCATGGGTTTTTTCCAAATCCAGTCCCTGGCAGTCTGCACCCTTCATCACTCAAGGCCAGGCTCCCCTTCTCCTTGCCACCATTCGTCCCCTCTGGCTTTTTATTCTCACCTGTCTCAGGATCGCTGAAGTCTGGCAGAGTAATTGTATTAAGCTGTCGTCTGTCAGCAATAGTTCTGTCTAGGAGGCTGCTCCCACGTCCAGAATCACTGCAAAACATAGCTGCAGATGTCAGTCATGAGGGCGGGCAGGGCAAGGGAACAGAATCCCGCCACCCGACCCGGACACGCAGCTCGCCCTTCGGCGCATCCTGATGCCCTCTGCCATGCTCAGGGACGCCCAGGCCTCCTCCCGGCTCGGGGGGCTGGGCTCCTTTCAGTAGGCCGCGTCGCAGACCTGGCGTCCAGCATGCCCAGAGACCTGGGTTAATTTTAGCCTCTTTTGTGTCATCATAAGGTTAAAAAAAAAAAAAGAAAAAAAAAAACGCTTCGAGTCAGGCTTTCCGTTCACCTTGTAGCAGGAAATGTTCTGGCTTTCTGCCGGCGACGGCTGAGAACTGGTCTCCACACCTGCGCTTCCTGCCCTGGCTGCTCAGGAAAAGCCCCCAGGAGAGTCAGAAAAACCCTGAGGCCTAGGTCCAGCTCCAGACCTCAGAAGTCAGAATTCCGGGTCACTTGACATTTTTCAAAGCCCTCCAGGTGGTTCTCGTGTGCAGCCAGAATCAAGAGCCCCTGACCCCCACTTTTCAAAGGGTGGTCATGGCCACAGCCTCATTTGTGTGCCCGGAGTAAGCCTTGAAGAGAAATCGCGTGGCTCGTGTCCCTGTTTAATAGATGAGGAAGGGGAGTGGTGAGGTCCTAGGCGGGGCCGGAACTGGAGAAGCCGGCCTTGACTGGAACACAGCAGGGCCGGGCGGCCGCCTACGCGGTCTGCCAGCTCCCGGCACCCACTGCCCCTCTCCCGCTGATTCCTACAAGCAGGGCCCCCCGGGAATGCCGTGTGTGAGAGCAGCTCCTTCCTAAGGGGACTGAGCCACCATTAAGGGACCTTAGCTCATGCAGACTGTTTTTAATTCTGAGGAGATTGTAAGCAACAACAATGGCCTTTTTGCTTCTATCAGGGAAACTCCAAAAAGAATCAATTCTGTTTCACTGAGGTTTGAATCTTTCATGCCTGTATTTGAACCTATTTTGTTTTCAATCTGGAGGCTTTAACAGTGATTTTATTATTTTTGTTGTTGTTGTTAAGAAGTTCAAATTCTATAATAAAGGTACACAATTTCCTTCCTCTCAGCAGCTGCTGCTAAAAGTGGTTCAAACAAGATTTGGTATGAATTTAATATGGTTTGCAGGCTGCAATTTCCACGTCCAGGGATGGAGTTAGAGAAATCCACAGGAAACAGAAGGAAAACTGACTGCAGGACAGACCTATCAGCCTATACTTACTACATCATCGGATACATGTTTTTAGAAGTGGTGCTATTAATTATTTCCACAACTGAGAAACAATAAATGTCTCTGAGTAGAAGATAATGTAAAAGTACACACAGGTTTTCATTAATCACATCACTGACAATATTTCTACCATTGTTCTTTTCATGGATGTATTTGAAATACAAATATCAGAGTTAATGATCTGAATATAAGACTTCCCACTTAATGAGTTTTTCAGGAAATGTTTCTCAAACTACAGTAATATTTTCACCACATGATGATTCCCAGACACACATGAGGGATGGGCACTGCCCAAGGAATCAGTGGGCCAAGTTCAAGAAAGTGGATTAGAAATGCTTGTCTCAGCTACAATCTCCCTGACTCCCCATCTCACTGAGTTTCAGAGCACAGGGCTAAATACTATTAGTGTGAACCCTAGAATAGGGGTAAAATACGATTAGTATGGGCCTAGAATTTGGCTGGGAGGTCTGGATTTTTCTCTTATGTATGTCCCTAAGGATTAGGCCTGTGCCCGGCTCAGTGACTTGCGGTCACATGAAGACAAAGGCTGCCTCCTACAGACCTGGGGGGGGGGGTGCTGGCCTGAGGGCGTGCCCCTGGCAGAGGCATGCCTTCAGGGACAGGGACACACTAGGGCATTGCACACCTGCAAACATCCATCTGGGTGGTAGCGCTGCTAGTCTCTGAGGCCTTCTGGTGCCATTGGCAGGTGTGGGAAGTGGATCTAAGGGTCTCTTACTCGCAATGTTACAAACCACCACTAAAATCCAGACAACTTGTAAACCTCATCCAGGGACAGTGACAAAGGACCTATTTCCCTTTCACCAGTGAGAAACTACATTTGGCTACATTTCTTAGTCTGTCTACCAGAGTTCCTTGTGTATATAAGCAACTAGTGGCTATTTGAAAGGGAGTCGCTTTTGTTTCCACTGTGAATGCTCTCACTGACTGAAAATTTTTGTGGATGTTTCAAGCATCTTCTAGTTTTTCATTTTATATGGCGTAGAGTGGGAGATGATCAAGATTTGCCTTTGCTATGACCAACAGAATGTGCTAGAAGAGGCAAGAAGACAGGCGTGGGCCGAGCCTTGTTTCCCCTCCCCAAAGCCTTCCTCTCTCCCTCTTGGCTGTTGTCTGTCTGCTTGTACCTCCTGGGGACCGCCCGGTGCCCCTCACCTCTGCTCTGCCTGGCCCTTGGGCTGTCAGAAGCACCTCCCAAGGAGGACAAGCTTCCCTCATCGGTGGGGACAGTGGAGGGCTGAGGGAGCAGAGAGTGGAAGGGACCTCCCGTCCAGAGTACACAGGCCACAGGTATACACACTAGACTGAAAATTCAGAGTAAACTGTAGTGATGGTTAAAGCTATACTGGAGACGCGAATCTTCTCTTGGAAATGCTCTTTTCCACAGCTACCTAGAGGTTAAATACAAGGGGCCAGCTGGAGATGGCCAGGAGCTGGGACCTAGGGTATCTGTGGCAGCCTCATCTCTTCCCAGCTCCTGAAACAGGGCCTGGCACCCCATAAACTGGGGTGTCCAGGGAGGGCTCCTCTGAGCTGAAGCCCGGGTTGATGAGGGAGGGGCCGGTTTCTCCCTATGTCCTTAAGGCTGGCTTCCAAGAATCCTGGAACGTTCCTAACATCTCTGATGCCCATTGTCTCACCTGCAAAATGGGTGTAACATGCTATATGTCTGTTTTAGGGGTTGCTTTGATGATGAAAAGAGAACATGCTTTGTAAAAAGAAAAGCTCCACCAGAATGCTGGGGAGACAACAGGCATCACCCTAAGGAAACGGAACTCCCTCTGTTATAAATGACCGGGTCGGGGCTTGGGGGGGAAATACTTTCCAATCACTAGTCTACCTGATGGAGATGGTGTGAGTGGAAGTGATAAGGGGGAAAAGATGTGTTTAACAACAGAAAAAATGAAGGTGCACAGCCCGCTGTCACTCAGAGGCAGAGCCTGTGGGCAAGGGCTCTGGTGTCAGCCAGCTCGGGCTTTGAACCCAGCGCCACCATGGGGCCAGTGGGACCCGTGGGCACATTATTTCATCTCCCTTGGCTGCTACCTTACTTTGTATGAAGTGGACAGCGCAGGAGCCATCTTGCCAGGCTGAAGCAGGGCTGCAGAGACAGAGCTGGCACAGAGCTGGCCTGGGCCCGGTCGGGGGAGGCTGCTCAGGCACCTGCCGGGGAGCGAGGGGGCACCCAGGGGGCTCCCCCTAGAGAGGAGGCCTAGGCTAGAGCAAGCAAAGCTGCAGACCTGGGGAAGGAACCCACACTCCGGAGGGGACAAGCACCTCAGAGACCCCTGGAGCTGTCTAGATCAGCCGCTGGCTCAGAGCGACTGTCCCACAAGCACCGATAAGGAGCGGGGGCACGTGGCCGGGGCACGTGGCCAGCACACGCAGCCAGGCCTGGCTGCCCCTCACTGCCGTCCGTGGCTCCCCCCGTGCCTGTCAGTCCCTGGCGTGGGGGCCCTGGCGGGCGGAGCACCTCGAAACAGCACGTCAGGGAGGCCCTGCTCCAGGAAGAAAACCCCTGTGCCCTGCTTTCTGCTCAGTCGCTGCGTGTAAGCGCAGGGATGCTTCTCGTGAGCGTGCTCACACCCACTGCCCTTTGCTAGAATCCTGTGCGACTTGATGGCAGACTGAAGGCTGCTGGATGGGAACTGCCCCTTTCTGGACAACAGCCAAGCGGGCCGTCCCCTTCCAGGACATGGCCTCCCTGCGTGAGCTCCACGCGACCGCCAGGGTCACGTCTGTCCCAGCACACTGGGGAGGGTTTCTGACACTGGGAGGGCTCAGGAGAAAAACGTTTATTTATATCCCAGAGCAAATACAGCTCAGACAAACAGGAAGCTACTCAACAGGGGGGCACTCCTCCACCCCCTCCCTCGAGGCTCCCCGGAGTAGCCGGAGGGAGCAGCTCTGAGTGTCAGGGTCCCCTCGCCACCCCCGCCCCTGCCCAGACTGGGCCCAGGCTGAGTGCCTCCTGCCCTGGCCCCCAAGGATCCTTCAGGAAACAGAGGAAGTGCAGACATAGCCCAGGCAGTTGGTTAAGTCTTTTTAAAAAGCTTTCCAATTCTGCTATTTTTTTTTTTCTCTCACATTCAATATTCTTGGTTGCTAAGTGGGAGGAAATGTGGGGAGGTGGGAGAGGTGTGGAGAACTGAGGGGAAATTGGCAACATGAGAGCTGCTGGGTTTCTTTTCTCATTTCTAACGGGGGTACAGGCAACGGAGATAGCCCCAGGACGGAAGCCACAGTTTGCCGGGTGTCTCCTGTGAGCTGGGTCACATAGCGAAGACGGTCCCTAAACCCTGATGCTTCTGACACTTTCTTGTTGGAATAGTCTGCAACAGATATATTTTTTTAATTAAAATGATCTTTATTTTCAGAACGGACAATTGGAAGAGGCCGTTCTCATGACTAGCTTCACCAGGTGGTGGCTGTGGAGGGGACGTTGGTCTCTGCGGGCGCCTGTGCGGCTGGCTGAGGGGCGGGGGGCCAGTGGGCCGGCTCCCGGACTGAGCCCACCTCTGGCTGCATCGCCCACGGGCCTGCGACTGCCGGTTTATCTGATATTAGTTCACAAGGACCCACCCTGAACAGGACACTGAGTTTGAACATGTAGAACCATTTTTTAAACACGATCTCAGGGGCACCCACCAGCACTCTCCTGCCCCCCAATGCCCGCCTGGCCATTCCACTGCCCAGGTCAGTAGACGTGACTATGAGCCCACGTGCCACCTGGTGGGTGAGACTGGACGAGATAAACCCTTAGTGCAGAAGACGAGCTGAGTTGCCCACTGTTAACTCTGGCTCTTAATAGCACAATGTGGGTTGTCCAGACACCTTGCTGTGAACTTGAAAAAGATCTGAGTGTCAGCAGCTGTTTGAATTCACTCGAATCGTTAGGTTCTTTCCATGAAATTGCTTTCTTCGTAGGGTGGGGCACACTTAAAGCTAAGTCAGGAAAAACTGCCCAAGACTTGGAACGGACACCTTGGTTACTGGGTATCTTTCAGAGGCATGAGGTCACACCCCCAGATTATCTGCCCCTGTGGGATGGCCCCTGACTGACTCCCCAACGCACCAGCCCTCTTATGGCTCTGTGGGGCTGTACGGACAAGGCAGAAGGATTCTGTTTGCTTGAGATGCAACCAATTTCCACCTTCTTTATGAGGTTCCCCAAAACAACATATTGCACTGCCCCAAAGGATACCGTTTTTGCATTAATTTCCAAATTCATTTTAGCACTTCTACCTATACATATCTTTTATCTTTTTTTCTTTCCAAATTTTTCTTGGAATGGGTCTTAACATTTTACTGGTTTGCTCAATAGTTCATGAGGTAAATAAAATTTCCAATAAATGTTTTGAAATATTTGTTTGAACTATGATTTTAATTTTTTAAAAATTAAGAGTGATTTCTACTTTTCTTAGTACATTGGGGCTTACAGTCTGTAGGTCTTTTAAATATGACTGTAAGAATCCCATCGGGATTATGTAACTGACCTGTCTATCCGTCAATCACCGGAGAGATAAGACTCATCAAAGGAGTCCAGGAAATGGTCAGTAGAGAGAAACCAGATCAAGGTCAACTGTGAATTGAACCCAGTGGATCACTGTGGCAGCAACAGCAAAAGAAACTCACAATTAGGAGTTTCCTCTGCCACTAGGCGATCCCCTTAAAAACAGGACGTGGGAGGGTCTGCTGCTATTATCTGCCGCTCCTGAGGACCCCCAGGGGCACAGAAGTGGCAGAGTTACAGCCTTGAAGGGCCGCACAGCACACAGCAACCGCACTATAAGGCGCCCAGGCAAACAGGCCCCAGGAGCTCTTACCTGGGATTTGTTAGGTTGTAGCAGGATTTCCATATTTGTAACATGTGCTTACAGGTCAGGAGAGCCTCATCCGGGCCCCTGCAGAGCGACTCCAACTTCACTTTGGAAAACAGTAGTCTACGGTGGGGAGACAGAGGGAGAAAACAGCACAGTTCAAGCCGGAGTCCCCACCGAGAAAACCTCGCGTCCAGTGCAACCCGAGGGCAGCGGCGGGTGGACAGAGGGGTCCGGAACCCCGGGGTGTGTGCGGCTTCGCGTCAGTCTCCCCGCCCGGTCGAGGCAGGCCCGGGTTGGCGGCTGGTGGTCAGGCTGGCAGTGTTAGAGCAGATCATCGTACTCAGAACATGGTGTTTTGATGAACAGTATGGATTTTTTTAAAAAACAAACTTATTTGTGAAACTTAAACAATTCATTAAAAGGAAATCTTGATTTATTTACAAAATTATGGTGGAGCTGTGACGCAGTCGATGCAAACGTCTACAGATAACTTTCCGCATCGATGCTGGCGTCGCAAGGTAACGAATCAGCGTCGGCAAGTCTAAACTGAAGGTGCTGTGACGGCCGTCTGGCGGGGGCCCCATGACCTGCCCTAGTTCTGCCGCTGGTGGCCAGAGCATCGTCAGTTCACTCCATGGTCACCAGCTCTCTCTTGCCCACCTCTGTCATCAGCAATGGCTTCATCCTCCACCCAGAGCTTCTTAGTGCTAAGCTTAGAGCCTTCTCTCTTTCTTGGCCCTCATTCACTACTTCACTCCCAGGTCTCTGTAGGCTTCAGGCCTCCTGGCCCCGGCTCCTCACCACTGTGAGTGTGAAAACCCCAGCATGAGCCTCAAGACCATTTCTGTGCCCTGACCTGTCTGGCTCAAAGAAATCCTACAAAGGTCTCCAGAACTCATTTTCATCCCAGCGTAAGACTCTCAGAGATTCCCTACTGTCACAATAAGTTCTCGTGGGGTCCTTGAAGGTCCTCCACCTTCCCAGGGCCATGCCCCCACTGGACACTCCCAGATTGCTCTGACCACAGGCTACTTCCACATAACCACAGATGTGTGTGCCAAGTCCTGGCTCAGATCTCTACGCACCCATGTCGCCCTCGACGCTTCCTGATTCAGCCGCAGAGTCTCCCCCAACTACACCTACATTCAGTGCGCATCATACTAGCTGGAGCTTGTTAGTAATAATGGAAAGAAAAAGAGAGGGCGGAGCGGCTCTCAGTTAGGAGCGAGGCCCCAGGCCTGGCACCTCATGCCTCATCTCAGAGCCACCCATGACAGCTTGTCCTGGCAGGAGGCTTGGGCTCTTTCAGTAGACGAAACCCAGGCCCTCTCCGTGGGGTCTCTCACTTTGGTGCCTGGAATTGTGCTCTGAGGACAACAACCACATGCTCACTGATTATTTATAAGCCACCGAAGACCAAGGTTACGTTTCTAGTGATTGCAGTTAGTGACATCTGGGAGAATTCCTCAGCCGCGCACACATAATGGCCCCACCGGGAAACGGAATGAGGGTGGTCCTAACTGGCCGCTGCCCAAGCTCAGAAGGGGTGAGACCAACCACTCCCTCCCACTGCAACAGGACATCTGCAGGGCCGCGGAGAGCTTCCAGGGGCCAGGGCTGGGTGTCACAGAAGCCTGGGCTAGCGGGACGCCAGGCCAGGGAAGGGGAGGACGGCAGTCGCTGGTCTACAAGCAGGTGGGCATTCACGAGGCCAGCTGTGAGAACAGGGCTGGGCTATTTCTCAAAAAAAAAAAAAAAAAAAAAATCTCAAAAAGTGGAAATTCCCTAAAGGTCTTTCTAGTACTACCATGAGAAATGGCAGCCTCTCAGAGCGTCTCCAGGGCTTTCTAAGAAGCTGGAAGCCGACTCCTGCTGATGTCTTCAAGAGTCCAGAAGGCGGTGGGAGGACTTTTCCACCAGAATCTCCCACTAGTTGGGTCAACTGGGTGGTGTGTGGCAAAGGAAGGAGAAGCTGCCAAACTATCACCGTTAGCGCTTGGGGGAGACCTATTTGGTGGCCAGAGACCCTGTGGGTGAGGGCTGTTTGCCAAGCAGTTCTGGCCAGGGAGTCCCCAGCAAGGACGGCGGTGAGGTTCTCTGGAAGGCAGGCTGAGTCCCTCCGGCTGAGTGGAACTGGTGCCTGCCGGCCGTGGAGGGCCAGGGCCGTGGAGGCGTTTTCCCTGCACTGCAGGCAGCCACGAGGCTCGAGGGCCAATTACCTGCGATTCCTTTAACTGCACCTTAAGTACAAGACTGGAGCTGGTTTCTAAGCATCAGCTTGGGGGAACAGTTCTGTGCAGGCTCCTCGGCTGGAAAAAGAACGTCTAATTAACATGAAATAACAGCTTTCAAACACTTGACTCAGGATATGGCATTGAAAAGGTGTGGGCTGGATTCAAGAGAACCAGACAGGAAGAACAATAGTAGAACTGCTGAGCACAAGCGATGGCAAAGGCACCTGGAAGCGAAGCAAGAAGAACAACATGAAAGAGTGACGGGCAGAGAAAAGGAGCTGGGGACGCACTCAGGGCAGACGCCCGCAGCCTTTGGGCCCCCAGGAATTCCGAAGGACCCTGGCCTGGCAAGCACAGCGCTCAGTCTTCCTTGAGCCAGTAGACGCAGGAGATGGGGCGCCGTGAACCCACACCTCAGCTTGTTGACAAGGCAGAGAACCAGACCCCAAACAGGGCAAGGGGCACCTGTCATCACATTGGCTGATCCCTGCTCACACATTTCAAGACTGTTCGACACCAGGCCGGTGCACGTTGCATTAGCACAGCGTGAAGGGCACAGCAGTATGATTAGCATTAAGTTGCTCTCGTAGGTGCCCAAAGGTATTATAGATTCAACCTGCCAAGGAAACCCTGAGGCAAAAAAAGGGAGAAAAACTCGGGACAAACCAGAATTTACTGTATCTCAATGCCCGGCAACAGAGCCAGAAGAGGACGTGCCGGCCACAACTCCAGCGTCTCGCCGCTGAGGCGGCTGTTTCTCTGAACCACACTAAGAAGTCACACGGAAGCAGGCTAGCTAGCCCCGACCCTAATTCCAGGCACAAAGTTCACTAACCTAATGAAAATGAAATTTTTCTTTAGAGACTCATTGAAAACTTGCCAGAAATGAGTGAACAGAAGATGAATTTTGCTAAAATATCAACCTGGCTACATATCAAATCTCGCACCCCACTGGCTCCTTCACCGCGAGCCCCAACCCCCCTTTAACCAGGATCCACCGCCTTGTGGATCCTCCTCTCCTTTGCGCCCCAGGGAATTTGCACATGCTGCTCCTGCAATTCAGGATGCCTTTTTCATCCTCATCAACTTCTCTGTCAAGACACAGGCCAAAGAGCGCCCCTCCACTGGCCTAAACTGACCTCGCCTGGAAATGCAATTCCAGAAAATGCTAGAGCTCTCAAACGGTGGAGTAATAAGCTACAAACCAGGAAACTTGTGCTTTCAAGACAAGTGAAATAATAACAATAACAGCAGCAGCTGCCAGACGCTTAGACTATTTAACCACGGATTCTTACAGCAACCTGCAAATTAGGTTGACAGTTAAGTAATTTGCCCAAGTTCAGACTGCAAGTGACTGGTAGAAGAGAAATGGAAGTCCAAATCTATCTGACTCTGAAGTGCAAGAAACAGAAGAGAAGGACTTAAAAGGTATTCTGACCATGCTCCCAGCAGTAATGAAGATGTACCCCATTTTCTAGTCCACATGTTTAAAAACCCAAAATACGTAAAGCTCCATATTAGATGCTGGGTGGAATAAAAAAGTGGCATAAAATAAAGCTCCTTGGCTCCATGAAATTATGGGCCAAGGGCCAAGCAGAAGATGTGCCCAGGACCACGAGGCAGGTTTCCTGACGTAGGAGCACCAGAGGCCCCAAACGTGAGCAGGACAGCAGAGCTGGGGCCACTGGGGTCTTGTTCCTCGCAGGGGTCACACATGGTTCTTTGAGAACGGTCCACTGCTTGCTACATTTTGCGACTTGCCTTTTACCCAAACGTCAGGCACAGATAAGATTCCAGTCCTTTGAAGGACCTAGTTAATCAAGAACTTACTTTAAAACAAACAGACATGATTCTCTACCCTACTTTCGGAATTGTTCAAGCAGCCCTGGGCAGCGCTGCAGATGACCATTATGTTTGGCCCAAAAGCAGACACATTGCACAGGTGGCCCCGGCTTGTGGGGTGGGGACCTCCCCTTGGGGGCATGTGACAAGCTCAGCTCTGAGGTCTAATGACGATCCCCAGGAATACTTTCCTGACTCCCTCTGGAGTCTGCTGCGTGGGACTTGTGGGCTGGGGGCCGGTCCAGTTAGGCTGCTGTGGTCTCTGGGCACTCCTACTTCCAGGGACACTCCAGCCTAACTGGACCGGCCCCCAGCCCACAAGTCCCACGCTGCAGACGCCACTCACACCTCCCTGCCTGATCTTGGGGTGTTCCACCTGCCCACGTGGAGGCCCCTCCCCAGAGAGCCTCCCACCCTCCACTGGGGAAAAACCCTTATCTGACCTCGTCCACGACCCCATCTTCAGGCAGGGAGGTGTGAGTGGCGTCTCATGTGTATGAACATTTTCTAAACGATCTGCTTAATCACCCAGTGTTTGCACAGTAGGCTACTTACCTATTTGTCCGTGTGCCTGCTATAGAGCTTCAACTGTGCATCCCATTCAAAGTGCCTACTGTGCCCTGCAGGTTACAAAGGGGAATATGATATGTGTGGTTCTGCTAGCCTAAGCGGCCTATCCAGCCTCCATTTTGTTTCCCACAGTTCTGTATTCCTAAAGCAAGGTCAGACTGCCCGGTCAGAGGAGCCCCATCCTACAAGGCACCATTCACATCAATTAAGAGCGCAAAGCTGAGTCACCCTGGGAAGGGTTTGCATCACGAGGTGTGACCGGGGATGCCCAGTCCCCGGGGCTGAGGACAGATGCATAAACTTACTCCTGACTTACACATCACGAGGTATGACTGGGGATGCCTGGGGGGGAGGGGGGGCGTTGACTGATGTATAACAAGGACTCCGGAAGCTGATCAGTGGACGCCTTATTGATAAAATTGAAACCCTGACTGGAGTCAGGGCAGGATCTACGACATACCAAGCTATCAGCAG